GCGACCAGGAGGCCCGGGGAGGCCCCAACAGGCGCCCCAGAGGCCGCCAAGAGGCCCGCAAGAGATCCCCAAGAGGCCCCAAGAAGCTCCCCAAGGCACCCAAGAAGCTCTAAGAGGCGCCCGGGGCCGCCAAGAGGTCTTGCGCGACAAAAGTGCCGCAAAATACATCACAAACGCGCACAAATGCCATGTTCAAAGTTCGTGCGAAACGGCCCAGAATTGAGCACTGGTGGTGCAAGATCTGTGGCGCGAGCTGGGCTGTGCAGGCAGCGCGGTGCCAGCCATGCAGAGCAGGCCACGCGGGCGGCGACGAGCCAACCCACGGGCGGCGACAAAGGCGCACGAGGTGCCCACGAGGCCTCACCGGGCGGCGACATGCAGAAACCCAGAAAGCCCAGCCAGGACCGCCTGATCGTCCCGAACAATTGTCTGACGGCCCTGGGGCTTAAGGACCCCAGACGTGGATCTGTGTACGGCGGGTTCGTGCCGTGACGACCCTAGCGTTGGCTTCTGACACCGCGTGGATCGTTCAACCCTGAACGATCGGCGGCTCCTCGCTCGTTATATGTTGGCCGATACTGGGCCACTTGCGGCGTTCAACCTTGAACGCCCGCGCCACAGTCTGCTCCGCGTCGGCTCATACATCCTATTAGAATATTACGAAAATCAATATATTCTCTGAAATGTATGATATTGTATTTATTTCTTCCATGTTCCATGCAAGCGGCTGATTTCTGGTGTGGTCGGGCGGCCCAAGTAATCGTCCTCCTCCCCGCGGGGCGAGGGGCGGGCCGGGCGGCGTCCTCTCTGCCGAGCGTGCCGCGCACGAGGTAGGTCGTGTACCTCCCCACAGACGACATCCGGCGGCCCCCGCACAGAACCGGTGGTCGCACGTGCCTCCCGCACGCGCGACCACCGGTTCTGCGCACGTCGCCTCCCGTCGTCGCGGCCCCCCCTCAGAACCGCGTGCGTGTGCGTGCGCGTGTGCGTGTGCGTGTACGTGTGCGCGTGAGTGTGTTGGTGTGTGTGTGTGTGCGTGCAAGTGCGCGTGCGCGTGTGCGTGTGCGCGTGCATGCGCGCGCGTGTGCGTGCGTGTGCGTGTGCGCGTGCGTGTGCGTATGCGTGTGCGTGTGCGTGTGCGTGTGCGTGTGCGCGTGCGCGTGCGTGCGCGTGTGCGTGCGCGCGCGTGTGTGTGTGTGTGTGTGTGCGTGTGTGTGCGTGCGTGTGTCTGCGTGTGTGTGTGTGTGTGTGCGTGTATGCGTGTGTCTATGTGAGTGCATGCGTGCGTGCGCGTGCGTGTGTGTGTGTGTGGGTGCGTGGGTGCGTGGGTGTCTGGGTGCGTGGGTGTATGTGTGCGACTGTGCGCGCGTGAACGTGCGTGCGTGTGTCCGTGTGTGCGTGCGTGCGCGTGTGCGTGTGAGCAGCTCGCATGCGCGCATGCGTGCGTGCGTGCGCGTGCGTGTGCGTGCGTGTGCGTGCGTGTGTGCGTGCGCGTGCGTGCGTGCGCGCGCGTGTGCGCGCGCGTGCGCGCGCGTGTGCGCGTGCGCGCGTGTGCGCGCGTGTGCGTGTGTGCGCGTGCGCGCGTGCGCGTGCGTGTGTGTGCGCGCGCGTGTTCGCGCGAACGTGCGCGTGCGCGTGCGCGTGCGCGCGCGTGCGCGTGCGCGCGCGTGCGTGTGCGTGCGCGTGCGCGTGCGCGCGCGTTTGCGCGTGCGTTTGCGCGTGCGTGTGTGCGTGTGCGTGTGAGTGCGTGTGCGCGTGCGCGCGTGTGGGTGTGCGTGTGCGAGCGCGCGTGCGTTTGCGAGCGCGTGCGCGTGCGCGCGCGTGCGCGTGCGTGTGCGTGCGCGTGCGTGTGTGCGTGCGTGCGTGCGCGTGTGTGCGCGTGCGTGCGTGTGTGCGCGTGTGTGTGCGTGTGTGTATGTGTGCGCGTGCGTGCGTGCGCGCGCGTGCGTGCATGCGTGCGTGCGTGCGTGCGTGTATGCGTGCGTGCGCGCGTGCGTGCGTGCGTGTGTGTGCGTGTGTGTGCGTGTGCGTGCGTGCGTGTGTGCGTTTGCGTGTTTGTGCGTGCAACCATGCGTGCGTATGTGTGCGTGCGAGCGTGAGTGCGTGCGTGCGTGCGTGCGCGCGTGTGTGCGTGCGCGTGCGCGCGTGTGCGTGTGCGCGTGGGTGTGCGTGCGAGCGTGTTTGTGTGTGCGCGTGTTTGCGCGCGTGCGCGCGCGTGCCTGTGCGCGCGCGCGCATGCGCGCGCGTGCATGCGCGTGCGCGCGCGTCCTTCGCGCTCAGCCTCTCGCCGCCCCCGCTTATTAGCGTGGCTCTACCTCTTCACCATCGTTCATCGCCTACACGACGGCCTGCGCTTGCCGCGCCCAGCGCGGCGCACTTGGCCTGCCGGCGCTCCGCCCTTGCCTCCCGCCGCGCACAGTGCGCCTCCAGGTCTCGGCGCTTCGGCCCTCTCACGGGTCCGTCTGCTCTTCATGCACCCCCAGCGGCTCGGTTGCCGCGTCGCCTGCGCCGCCCCCCCACCGGCCGTGCTCGGCCGCCGCCGAGTTCCGCCCGCCCACCGGCCGCATTCGCCTGCTGCCCTTCGCCTCCTCGCCACCCGCGTTGCCGCGCGCGCCGCCCGCGCCTCCTGCCGCGCCTCGCAGGCCATGGGATCTCGGCGCTTCGGCCCATCCCTGGGCCCGCCTGCTCTGCCGACTCCCCCGTCGGCGAAGTCGCCGCATCGCACGTCCTGCTCCCCAATCTGGCTACCCCAGCCGCCGCCGGGCCGCCGCCTTCCCAGCTGCCGCCTGGCGCCGCGGCTGGCCCCCCCCTCGGCGATCACTCCCGCCGCAGCCAGTGACTCGCCTGATCGGGCCCGGCCCCCCCTCTCCCCGTCGCGCCTGGGCCCCCCCCCCCTCCTGCATCGCGGCCGAATTTGTATATTTCACGCCCCCCTTATGCGCGATCGCCAGAGAAATCACCCTCTGCCCAGCCGCCGACGAATAAAGTGCGCGCGCACGCGTGCGCGCGCGAGCGCACGCCTGCAAGCGCGCGCGCGTGCTCGCGCGCGCGTGGGCGCATGGACGCCTGGGCGCGAGGACGCGCGGGCGCGCGCGCGCGTGACCGCGCGTTCGCGCGCGCGCACGTGCGCGCGTGCGCGCGCGTGCGCGCGTGCGCGCGTGCGTGTGTGCGAGCGCGTGTGTGTGTGTGTGTGCGTGTGCGCTTGCGCGCGCGCGTGCGTGCGCGCGCGCGCGTGGGCGCGCGCACGGGCGCGCGCGCGGGTGCACGCATGCGCGCGCGTGGGCGCGCGGGCGTGCGTGCGCGCGCGTGCGCGCGTGTGTGTGTGTGTGCGTGCGTGCGCGCGCATGTGCAGGCGCGCACGTAGGCGCGCGCGTGGGTGCGCGGGTGTGTGCGCGCATGTGCGTGCGCGTACTCGCGTGTGTGCATGCGTGCGCGTATGCGCGTGTGTGCGTGCGTGCGTGCGTGCGCGCGTGCGTGCGCGCGTGCGCGCGCGCATGTGTGCGCGCGTGGGTTTGTGTGATTGCCTGTATGAGTGCGCGCGTGTGCGTGTGCGCGTGCGCGCGTGCGTGCGAGCGTTCGTGTGTGTGCGTGTGTGTCCGCGTGTGTGTGTGTGTGTGCGCGTGTGTGTGTGCGTGTGTGCGTGCGTGTGCGCGCGCTTGCGCGCGCGCGTGCGCGCGCGCGTGGGCGCGCGCACGGGCGCGCGCGCGGGTGCACGCATGCGCGCGCGTGGGCGCGCGGGCGCGCGTGCGTGCGCGTGCGCGCGTGCGCGTGTGCGCGCGCGCATGTGCAGGCGCGCACGTAGGCGCGCGCGTGGGTGCGCGGGTGTGTGCGCGCATGTGCGTGCGCGTACTCGCGCGTGTGCGTGCGTGCGCGTATGCGCGTGTGTGCGTGCGTGCGTGCGTGCGCGCGTGCGTGCGCGTGCGTGGGTTTGTGTGCTTGCCTGTATGCGCGCGCGCGTGCGTGTGCGCGTGCGCGCGTGCGTGCGAGCGTTCGCGTGCGCACGTGTGCGTGTGTCCGTGTGTGTGTGTGCGCGTGTGTGTGTGTGTTTGTGTTTTGTCTGCGTGCGCGGGCGCGCGCGGGCGCGCAGGCGCGCGCGCGTGCGCGCGCGTGCTCACAGACGAGGCCCCCTCCTGATACTTCCCTCATATTCGGGCCTCAGGGGCTCAAATTTGGCGACAGTTACAGGAGACCGATGACCCGCCTCGGATGTGAAAACATGAGCGGCGGGCCCCATTGGGGAGCCCCGCCTGAAACTTCCGCGCAATTCACTCGCAGACGAAGCCCCCGCTTGAAACTTCCTCCACATTCTGGCCGCAGAGGCCTCAAAATGACGATAGTTACAGGAGGCCGACGACACGCGCGGGTTAAAACCAATGAGCGGCAGGCCCCGTAGGGAGGGGGCACCCTCCTGAGACCCCCTCGCAATTCACTCACAGACGAGGCTCTGTCGACGACGGTGTTGCGATGATTATAGTGATGAGGATGATTCGTAGTAGTAATAGTTGTGCGTGAGTGGGTGGGTTGGAGAACGAGAGCGCGCGAGTGCGTAAGTGATGATGATGCGGCGATGACGATGTGAGCGCATGAGTGCGCGCGGGCAGAGAGGGGGGGGCCGTTCCTTCCACCCCGTTCCTGCGCGGGGTGTCCAGAGAAAGCAAGAACCCCACTTTGGATGCGGGGAAAAATTGGCTTCCTCGAAGATGGCGGCAGGCGCGAGTCGACCCAGAAGAAGTCGATGACCCGATCGACGCACTGCTCGCTGCCCTGCCTCACGACCCGCGAGCGACAGGCGCCCCCGCCCGCTCCACGCGCCGTCGGAGATGCTCGCGGGTCCGTTGCTGAAGCCCCTCATTGCTATCCAAGGTGCGCGAATCGACTGGGCCCAGTGGACTATCATATCCCAGACGGTTGGGTTGTGAATTCACGCGATTGGCTTGCCCGTGAAAAAGTAAACTGGAAAGTGAGCCACCCATCAGAGCTTCTCCTCTCGCCTCGGCGACCCCGAGGCACAAGCGCCGAGGCGCGCCCACGGGCGAAATGCCCCAGGCCTGCTGCCCAGAGGCCTTGCTCAGGGAAAGACACGATGGGGCCACCGAAGCAGCGCCTGCTAAGCTGTCCCCCCCCCCTCCTCTGCTCGCACAACGGGGGCTACCGCCGCGCGCCAGCCGCGGTGTTCCCGGGCCGCTGCGGGCACGTTCAGCCACGCATCGGGCTCGGCGCGCCCCGGCACCGCGACGACGGGCACGCCGCCGGCCCAAACGAGGGCAGAGATCTCCTCGCCCAGAAACTCATCTAGACGATTCCAAGAAAGGTTGGCGTTGAAAGACGCAGCGATCACACGGCGAGCCCCACGGGGCCTGCGGCACCCTTGACTCGCGCCACCGCCGCTGCCCCTGGCGCTGTCAGGCGCCCGTCGGCCTGAGCAACGCCTCCTCGCCGTGCTTCTCGTAGAAGGAGACCAGCGAAATGCGTTTCGCCGCCCTCTCCTCGTCGGCCACGAGCTGCTCGATGAGCTCGTCGCGCTTGCGCTTGGCATCCTCCAGGTCACACAGCGCAGGCAAAGCTTCTCCGATAGAAGCCGCGGCGCCAGGTGCAGCACCTGTCGCGCATCCAGCCCCTGCAACGGCCGCGGAACCGGCGGGGGCAGCAGGCCGCGCCAGCGCGGAGGCCCCGACGGCGCCTGCCTGGGGAACCTCCTTGACCAGCTGGAGGAGCTCCTTGGCCGCCGCGGCGAAGGGCGCCAGAAGCTGCTCGGAAGAGCCGCCCCCCATGGTCGCGTCGCCGCCGCTCTCGATGCCCACCAGCTTCTCCAGACAGTTGACCAGCTGCGCCACCACCGGTGGCCCACAATGGGGACCGCCTGCCGCGCCTGGGGCGCCTGCAGGCTGGGGCTGCTGCTGCTCGGCCAAGCGCTTGGCAAGGGCGGCCTTCTCCTGCCGAAAGGCGCCCAGCTCATGAGTCCAGGTCCCTTGCTGCCCTGCTGCTGGCGACCTTGCTCCAGCCGACGCTCCAGAATTGGTCCAACTTCATATCGCTGACGGGGCAGTTCCTCATCCACCGCCGGCATCGTGCCCTCGAGCTGCTGCAGCTGCTGGTAGAGACGCTTGCCCGCGCGGCGCTCAGCGACCAAGTTGGAGCAGTCCTTGCGTTTCCGCTCCAGGACCTCGTGGAACCTGGCATCGCCGAGGGATTCCAGGGTATAGATGGATTTGTCAAGGGCGGCAATATGGTCACTGATGCTGTCTCTGCCTTGTTACTGTTGCTGCTGCTGCTGATATTGCTGCTGATGATGCTTCGGCGGTTGTTTAAACATGTCAACGCCAGTTCCGTACTAACCCCAAGCGCCTCCAGTCAGCTGGCGAGCAGCCAGGCCAGCGTTCTTGCCTCTGGCGCCCTTACCCGTGGGCTGCCACGGGACGCGGGCGGGCGCCGTTGACTTCGACGCACGGGCGATGGCGGACTGGATGTGTTGGGGCGCGTGTGCGGAGCACGCCCTGCACTGCACTTTCGTTGAATAGTTGCCGCCGACGCCACACAACCCGCATGTCCATGGCGCTGCTCCCAGGAGCCGGAAGACGATGCCGATAAAAATGCTGATGCCACGGTGCCATTAACTCACGGTGTCTGGCAATGACGAGACGTGCAAGAGAGGTGTTCCACCAGGAGCTCACGAGATGCCAAGACGCCTCGTTTGACCAGGCAACGGAGTGTCAAAAACATTTCGGGGGCAGCGATTCCCCCACGCCATTAAGATCAGGTTCTGTGCCAAAACACTACGGACTTGAGCCAAAAGACTACGGCATCCTCTTGCTTTCCCTTCTCCTCCCTCCTCCTCCTCCTCTCTCTCTGCTAAAGTGCTCCATCAAAGGTTGCCAGAACAGCTGGGGGAACACATAGGCCAGTAGCTTGGCCAAGCCTTGACCCCACGTTTGGCCACATCGGCGTTTCGGCGTTTCCAGAAAGGCAGGGAGCAGCGACGACAGGAATAGCCGACACCGTGACTCCTCGCAGGCTATGGAGCGGTATGATGTCAGGGTTGTATGGCCTCCGCTCGTTTCCTAGAAGCCCACATTCTCCATCCCGCCTGACTGCATGCATCCCTTCATCGCGAGGTTCCCTGGGTGCCCCGACGCTCTGGCGGCTGTTAACGATGGACGCCGGCAGCGGCGGCGGCGGCGGCAACAGCAACGATGACGACGACGACGACGACGAAGTGCACCGTCAGGAAACATCCGCATGCACAGCTGCTGTATGCATGCCCTGCCCAGGATTCCTCGAGATCGGTGGCTATGGATGCTTTCCCGCCCTCAGAGGCGGGCATTGCCATGCCCGCCGCATCCACCACTCCTTGAAAAGCTCTCGAGGCCTGTGGAGCTCGACTCTAAGGCAGCGGACACGGATACTATCTGGCGGTGGACAAGGCTCCCGTGAAGGAACCGGAATCTGGAAGAAACGGGCAGGACTGGCTTTTCATCCTGAGCAGTTATTCGACAGTCCCAAGGCCCAGGGAGGGCCCCCAAAAGGCCGAGAACTGCGAACAAATGCAGCGCCCATCTCCTTCTGTTGCAGGTCCGAAACGGATACGGAAAAGATGGGTACTATTGCCAACAGAAAGTGGACGTCCACGACCGACAGCGGCCGCTATCAGGCAGGCGACCTTTCGTCTCGAATAGACAACGCCCGCGGCGACGCCGACAGCGAGTCCTGTTCAAAAAAGGCAGGAACTACTGCGTGTCTCCGACCCGATCGTTTCCGTACCCACTTCGATCGTACCGACTCCAACGGATCCTGAGGAAAACGGGTCCTGGAACCCAAAGGCTTCCCCCAGGACCAGCGTTTCGTCCCGTTCTGAAACGGCCCCGAGGCCCGTTGAGAGCCTCTGGATCCCGAGCACGGCGAAACACCTCAGGACCCCTTTCCTTCAAGACCCGTTTGCTTCGTTTTAGTGGCAACTCACGGGAGCCTCCTGTGCCATCTTGCTGGCTCTTGCGAATCGACGCTGACCGACGCGAATCGACTCTGGTCGACGCAAAAATCTGCGAGTACCAAACACCTGGCGCACGCCGATACACTCTAGAGATGGCGCTTCGAGGACGCATAAGGCCCCCACGATTTGCTACCGAACCTCATGGCGAACGCCAGGACCTCCTCTCGTGAGGATGAGGGGCAACGATAGGAGGGGATAGGGATTAGGGGGGGATGCATCGACCTGGAATCGGCGGTACATCGCCGATAGATCGGCGATAGGCCCCCGATAGTGAATCCGCACCTTCCTGGGCAGGTTGGGGCTATCGGGCCCCTATCGGCGAGCAGTGGGCGATTGGGTGTCGATGCAGCCCCCCTTCTGCCTATCCCCCCCTATCGTTGCCCCCGTGAGGAGCCAGGGCGCCGGTTCACTGCGCTGCCGGCGGTCTCGGGCCGCTCCACCCAAGCCTGGCCGCAGGCCTCCGCCGCCTCGGCTTCCGCGGGGTGTGGGGCCGCCGGGCCGGGGAGAGGCCGTGAGCGAGGCGGCGGGGCAGGCGTGCGCTGCTGTCTCCTGTCCGCGCAGGAGGCAGCCACACTCGAGCGACGATCATGAGCGGGTCTTACGCGAGATGGCATAGCCACCTTACGCGGTGGCTTACGCGGGCCACCAGCGGGGCAAGCTGCACTGGCGACGAAGCTGCTCACGCGCGGCCTTGCGCGGCAGGGGGTCGGAGTCAACGCGACCCGGGGGCGACGTGCTCCCCTGACGAACGCACGTCTGCGCACTCTATATTTTACCCATGGCCGAGGCCATCAGGGCTGAAACAGCATCCCAGGATTCAGGATGGCCTTGCGCAGGGATAGTGGTGGCGATGTTTACGTGTTGTCGGAGGTGAGGGGGTGAGATCGAAGTGGAACGGAGAGCCACCCTACCGGGAAATCGATTTCGGTTTCGTGTTCGTGCGTGCCGTGCGGGCGAGGCGAAGCTGCGTGGGCGGGCGAGAGAAAGTCTCCTGTGGCTGAGGCGCGGCCGGACCAAATGTCTCCCTTCCGGGCGGCCGGGGGCCCGCGGTGTCCCGCCGGTGTCCCGCTGGTGTCCCGTGTGGCTGAGGCGCGGCCGGACCAAATGACTCCCTTCCGGGCGGCCGGGGGCCCGCGGTGTCCCGCCGGTGCCCCGTCGGTGTCCCGATTATGGTGATGATATTGATGATGATGATGATGATGATGATGATGATGATGATGATGATGATGATGATGACGATGTTGATGTTTTGTTTTGATGATCGATAGTGAGATCGGTAGTGATATCGATTGTGAGATCGAACGTGAGATCGAATGTCGGATCGCTTGTGAGATCGATTGTGAGATCGATTGTGATACCGAATGTGAGATCGATAATGAGATCGATAGTGAGATCGATTGTGAGACCGAATGGGATATCGATTATGAGATCGATTGTGATATCGATAGTGAGATCGATAGTGAGACCGAATGTGAGATCGATTGTGGAATCTATTGTGAGATCGATAATCAGATTGATTGTGAGATCGATCGATTGAGTTAGTAGTGAGATCACTATCGGCAATGAGATCGGTAGTGATCACGATAGTGAGATCGATGATGAGACCGAATGTGAGATCGATTGCGAGTTCGGTTGTGATGTCGATAGTGAGATCGATAGTGAGATCGATAATGAGATCGAAAGTGAGTTCGATAGAGAGATCGATAGTGAGGCCGAATGCGAGATCGATTGTGAGATCGATTGTAATATCGATAGTGAGATCGATAGTGAGACCGACTGTGAGATCGATAATGAGATCGATAGTGAGTTTGATAGTGAGGTCGATAGTCAGATCGAATGCGAGATCGATTGTGATATCGATTGTGAGATCAATAGTGAGACCGAATGTGAGATCGATTGTGAGATTGATTGTGAGATCGATAGTCAGATCGATTGTGAGATCTATCGATTGAGATCGATTGTGAGATCGGTAGTGAGTTCGATAGTGAGATCAATCGAGTGCGACGTTGGTCCCTCCCCCCCCCCTCACCTCCTTATCACCCGAAGGGTGGTCTATGCGGTATATAAGTTTTCTGCAGATGTACTCTTCTCCTCCTGAGCCTGCTCGTGCTCCTCCTCCTCCTCCTTCTCCTCCTCCTGATCATATGTTTGGTCCCCCTCGAGAATCAAAAGCCTATGTGTCGGGCTGTTATTGAGCCTCCGTAGGTCCCTGGAAACCTCCAGAAACTTCCCCGTGCTTTAATCCGTGTGATTTTACTTGAACGAGAACACGTGTCTCAAATGTGTACATGGATGTGTATATACCTATCGGAGGTGAGGGGGTGAGATCGAAGTGGAACGGAGAGCCCCCCTACCGGGAAATCGATTTCGGTTTCGTGTTCGTGCGTGCCGTGCGGGCGAGGCGAAGCTGCGTGGGCGGGCGAGAGAAAGTCTCCTGTGGCTGAGGCGCGGCCGGACCAAATGTCTCCCTTCCGGGCGGTCGGGGGCCCGCGGTGTCCCGCCGGTGTCCCGCTGGTGTCCCGTGTGGCTGAGGCGCGGCTGGACCAAATGACTCCCTTCCGGGCGGCCGGGGGCCCGCGGGGTCCCGCTGGTGTCCCGTCGGTGCCCCGTCGGTGTCCCGATGATGATGATATTGATGATGATGATGATGATGATGGTGCTGATGATGATGATGATGATGATGATGATGATGATGATGATGATGATGATGATGATGATGATGATGATGATGATGATGGTGTGATGATCCCGATGATGCTGTTGATGGTGATGCGGATCGATTGTGAGATCGATAGTGAGGTCGAATGTGATATCGATAGTGAGATCGATAGTGGTATCGGTTGTGAGATCGAACGTGAAACCGAATGTCAGATCGATTGTGAGATCGGTTGTGATATCGATAGTGAGATCGATAGTGGTATCGGTAGTGAGATCGATTGTGAGACAGAATAGGAGATCGTTTGCGATATCGATGGTGATATCGATAGTGAGACAAATAGTGAGACCGAATGTGAGATCGATTGTGGGATCTATTGTGAGATCGATTGTGAGATCGACAGTCAGATCGATTGTGAGATCGATCGATTGAGATCGATAATGAGATCGATAGTGAGTTCGATAGTGAGATCGATGATGAGACCGAATGTGAGATCAATTGTGAGATCGGTTGTGATATCGATAGTGAGATCGATAGTGAGACCGAATGTGAGATCGATAATGATATCGAAAGTGCGTTCGATAGTGAGATCGATAGTGATACCGAATGCGAGATCGATTGTGAGGTCGATTGTGATACCGATAGTGAGATCGGTAGTGAGACCGAATGTGAGATCGATAATGAGATCGATAGTGAGTTTGATAGTGAGGTCGATAGTCAGATCGAATGTGAGATCGATTGTGAGATCGATTGTGGTATCGATTGTGAGATCAATAGCGAGACCGAATGTGAGATCGATTGTGAGATCGATAGTGACATCGATAGTCCGACCGATTGTGAGATCCATCGGTTGAGATCGATTGTGAGATCGGTAGTGAGTTCGATAGTGAGATCGATCGAGTGCGACGTTGGTCCCTCCCCCCCCCTCACCTCCTTATCACCCGAAGGGTGGTCGTATAGGTATGAAAGATACGCCCCAACAGTGTTTGCACCTAGGCGTTCTTGCTTCGTTTTCTAAGCAATTGGGTAGATGTTCAAGGTTTTCGCCACGCTGGCACCAGTGCCCGCTCGTGGGCGCCTGGAGGACTCCAGAGGACCTATGCATGTAAATGTACATGTAAATCAAATATGAAGCTGTAAATGTGCAATTGTGTATGATACATATACATATACAAACACATAAATATAACCCATACACACATACACACAAATGCATTATGTATATTATGTATGTATGTATGCACAGGTATGTGCAAACCTATATATATATATATATATATATATATATATATATATATATATGTGTGTATGCATGTGTATATATGTGTGTATCCGTCTGCATACATATGTGGAATGTGTACCGTGCGATTACGTAAAATATACATGTGTGTATGCAGTGTACACATATACACATACATATACATATACATACGCATAATACTTGTACGTATACATATACATGTACATACACATGTTCATATACCTATATATACATATACACATACAGAAACGTATACATATGAAACTGCATATGCATGTTGATATGCACGTGTACATGTATACATGCGTGTGAATGTACAGATGCCTATGCCTGTACAAGTACAGCTGCATAGACGTATACGCATACGTATGCATGTACCGGTGCATCTACATATACATACACGTATATGAAATCAATGTGCGCATACATATTTACATACGAATATACGTATATATATATACATACGCATGTGTATATATACATATTCCTATAAATATGCACACAAATATTTTTATATATAGATATATATATACACACGTACCCAAATACGTATGCACAGAACGATGCTGAACATATACATTCACCAATACGTCTACACCTACATGTGCATACAAAAATTCGTGTACGTAGACATGGGCGCATGTGCAGATGTACATACATTTACAAATACATATGCGCTGCCAGAGACATAGACGTATACATGTACATACACCTACACGTACGCAAATACATACCAATATGTACATATATATATATACACATTTAGAACCACGCGCGCGCTTCGCGCGCGCTTAGGTTCTAGTCACGGCTGCGCCACGTTTTGCTGCTCTCGTTTTCGCTCGTGTGACCATCGACGACGACGACGACGACGACGACATCAGGGGTGGCGACGAGTGACAACGAAGGCGACGACGACGATGACGACGACGACGATGATCACGACGACGACGACCAACGACGTCGACGACCCCTGGAGTGGCCCCGAGGTCCGGACAACTTCCGTAGGCCCGGAATTTCGTCCTCAAGGTTTGACAGTCCCGGGATCCGTTGGGGGCGTCAGGATGCCGAGAGTTGTCCAGAAGCTTCGGGATCGGCCACAGTATCTCAGGGCGTCTGGGGAGAGGGCTCTTGGGAGCCTCTTGGGGCTTCCAGGCGGCCCCGTGGGGTCCGCTTGGGTTTTTCGGGGGGGGCTCTTGGAGGTTTCTTGGGGTCTCTGGGGTGCTTTTTAAGGAGGATGGCTCGAAATGTCGGGTGGGGTACCCCTCGGAGCTGCGTGGGGAAGCTGTCCCGGGGCCCTCTGGGACCGGCTTGGGGGCCTCCAGGACAGTCGAGGACCCCTCTTGAGCCGTCGTGGAGGCCTCTTGGAACTCTCTTTGGCCGTCTTGGGGCGATCTGGTCGGCTCCTGGGGCCGTCTTCGACGTGGTCGACGCCGAAGCGGTGAACATCGTAAAAATGCACGTTTTCCGAAAGGAATGGGGCCATTTTTGCTTCTGGAGGCGCTCTTGGGAGTCCTCTTGGGGGACTCTTGGGCCGTCGTGGGGTCTCCCAGAGGCCGTCTTGGAGCCATCGTCAGCGTCTTGGAGCGACAGTTCGGGGATTTGGTCCCTCGCGGACGTTTGGAAACCTCCTGAGACTCTCAGGTGGCGTTTCGGGGCTGTCAGGGGCTGTCTCGGGGGAGCCCCAAGAGGCCCCCTGGGGCTCTTGAGCTGTCTTGGAGGCCTCTGGGAACACTCTTCGGCCGTCTTGGGGCGTTTTTGTCGGCTCCTGGGGCCGTCTTCGACGCGGTCGACGCCGAAGATGTGAATATCGTAAATATATGTTTTCCTAATTGAATGGTGCCATTGGATGCGCTCTTGGGAGTCCTCTTGGGGGATTTGGGGCCGTCGTGGGGGCTCCCAGAGGCCATGTTAGAGCCATCTTCGGCGTCTTGGAGCGACAATTCGGGAGTTCTGGGCCGTCCTGGGACTCTCGGGTGGCGTTTCGGTGCTGTCTGGGGCCGTCTCGGCGGGGCCCCAGAGGCCCCCCTGGGGCCCTCGGGGACCGTCTTGGGGGCCTCCTGGATTGTCGAGGGCTCCTCTGGAGCTGCCTTGGAGGCCTCTTGGAACTCTCTTTGGCCGTCTTGGGGCGATGTTGTGGGCTCCTGGGGCAGTCTTCGACGTGGCCGACGCCGAAGCGGTGAACATCGTAAAAATGTACGTTTTCCGAAAGGAATGGGAGGCGCTCTTGGGAGTCCTCTTGGGGGGACTCTTGGGTCGTCGTGGGGTTTCCCAGAAGCCGTCTTGGAGCCTTCTCGGCGTCTTGGAGCGACAATTCGGGAAGTTTGCGCATTCTTGGACTGTGTGGCGGCCTCCTGGGCCCTCGGATGCCGTTTCGAAGCTGCCTGGGGCCGTCTCGAGGGCGCCCCAGAGGCCCCGGTCCTCCCATGCCCTGTCGTGGTCGCGGCCCCGGGCGCCCCGCCCTCGTGCACGGGGGGGGGGGGGATATAATATATTTATATATATATATATATATAATATAATATATATATATATATTATATATATACACTAGAACCATGGCGCGCGCTTCGCGCGCGCTCTGGTTCTAGTCACGCTTGCGCCACGTTTTGAGGCTCTCGTGCTCGCTCTTCTGATCGCCGCCATTGCGAAGTCCGCCGAATGTGGGCGTTGCAGAACCTACATCCGCCTCGCCCCCGTCCCCCTCCACTTCCTCCTCCTCCTCCTCCTCCTCCTCCTCCTCCTCCTCCTCCTCCTCCTCCTCCTCCTCCTCCTCCTCCTCCTCCTCTCCAGGCTCCTGCTCCTGCCCCTGCTCTCGCTACTCACTCCTTCGTCCCTCCCCCTCCTCATCTTCCTCCTGCTCGTGTTCCTGGTCCATCCTCCTCCTCCTCTTCCTCCTCCTCATCATCATTCCATGTTCACTCGTTCTCTTCCTCCTCCTCTTCCTCCTCCGTCTCCTTCTCTTCCCTTTCCACCTGTCCCATGTCCTGCTCATCCTCCTTCCCCTCCTACTCCTCCTCGTCCTTTTGCAAACCCTCCTTCTCCTTCTCCTCTTTCTCTCCCTACTCCTCCTCCTCCCTCTCCTCCCTTGCCTCCGCCCAGATGTTTGCGGAGAGGCGTCCGGGAACATATGGGCGACCGTTATCCACGGGCAGCTGGATGCCTCAGAGGGGGCCTCTGGGACATTTCTTGGGCGCAACTTGGGTATCTTTTGGGGCCCCCTTGGGGCGTCAAGGGGGGCCCTGGGCTGTATGAAAGCGCTCATGGCCCTTCTGACGCGTTCGGGAGCCGTCTGGCGGGGCTCTTGGAGATCATTGTTGGGGCCGTCTTGAGGAGTTCTTGAGCGCTCTTGGAAGGCCCAGGACGGCTCCGCAACGGTCCACAAGAAATCCCCTTTGGGCTCCGATGTAGGCGCAGGCTCGCGCTGTCAAAACAATCGCTTTCACAACGTGAGCGCCCGCATTGCCAAGCGCGAAAAGAGGCCGAAGATGGCCCCAAAAGAGCCCACACAGACGCGAAGATGCTTCGCCCAGGCGCCTTGAGGGCCCCGACAATCTTCACAGGGCCTCGTGGCGTCCGACAATCCTTCAGTCGCCAAGAATCTCTACGTAGCTACAGAGCACGAAGAGGTACTGAAGAGGGTCCGAAGAAATCCCAATTGGATAACTACGTCCTGAATGGTGCCCGAGACGACCTCTGGGGCCCAAGAGCGCCGCATGGGGCTCCCAAGCGGGTGGTGGGCATGATCGTTATCATCGTTGATCATGGCCCCCATCCTCTCTTTCTGTTCTGCTGTCCAAACCAGCAGCCCCGACTGCCCTGCGCAGCCCGGTCATCACACCACCGGGCAAGTCGGAGATGGTTCGGGCTGGACGGACGGCTCCTTGACCGTTGTACGAGGACGTCTCGAGCGCATGGGGCCTCCGGGGCACCACGACAGGCTGTCCCTGGGCCTCCGCCTGGGCTAAACACGTTTGCTGCGTGTACGTTTTCACACGCAGATCGTCCGAGGAGGTCTTCGGGAGTTCGGAGTCATCCGAACATCTGTCAATAGTCGGTATGGGAACCCCGGACCCACTCCAAAAACGCTCCGACCAGAAACGTACCAAAACATGCATTTTCCGAGACCATTGAAAACCTCCGCAGGATTCTGAGACCTCTCTGTTCCCTCCTCCCAGCTCTCGCGACTCGTCCTCTTTCTCCTCCTCCGACGACAGCGGCAACGACGACATCAACGATCTCGACGGTTGCGACAAAAAAGGCGGCGACGACATCGACGACCTCGACCCGTGACTTCGACGGCGTCGACCTCGACGACCTCGACGACACTGCCGATCTCCACGACGACAGGGGGCGACGACAGCGGCGACAACGATCTCGATGGCGACGACGACGACAACGACGACGAGGCAGACGACGACTTTCCGAGGGGCGCACCTCGAAGAGGGGCAGCGCCGCGGGCGCGGGCTCTGGCGTGGCGAGGTCGAGGGCGTCCTCCAGGCGGGCGGGGGCGGCAAACAAAAAATACCTCTGGCTGCGCAGAAGGCACCTGCACGCCGCCCCGGGCCCTGCCACCGCGAGCACATCCTGAGTCTGCAGATGCACTGCAGCTTCATTTGAGGCGTAGGGCGCACACTGGATCTTGAGCCAGGGAACATCTCTTTGGAGACCTGGCCGAGGCCTCGCGGCGGAGGAAAGAAGGAGCATCTGTAGACTATCGCCAGCCTGCACTGACGGGGCCCTGCTTCGGGCGCACTCGCTGCTTCGCAGCTGTAGGATGCGTCCACGGCCACCGCCTGCGGAACCGACGCCCGTGGGGGCGGGGCGCGCGGCCAGGCCTTCCACGGAGGGGGTGCGGACGCCGCGCGCCTGGCGCAGGCGTCGGCGCCGGCGGGGCTGGACCTCGATCCTCCTCCTCCTCGTCCCCCTCCTCCTCCTGATCCTGATCCTGACCCTCCTCCTTCCTCCTGATCCTCCTCCTCCTGCTCCTCTTCCTCCTCCTGCTCCTCCTCGTGCTCCTCCTCGTGCTCCTCCTCCTCCTCCTCCTCCTCCTCCTCCTCCTCCTCATGCTCCTCCTCCTCCCCTCCCCCTCCTCCTCCTCATCCTCCTCCTCCTCCTCCTCCCCCTCCTCCTCCTCCTCCTCCTCCTCCTCCTCCTCATCTCTGGGACTGGGGCCCCGGCGGGCGGTGGATGTGGACACGTTTGGGCACCAAAGGGCCCGAAGATATCCATGTCCAGCGCCTGCCGGGGCCCCAAGGGATCAATCTCCTCCGGGCGGTGGAAACCCCAGGCCCTACCAGGAGGAGGAGGAGGAGGAGGAGGAGGAGGAGGAGGAGGAGGAGTCACGGTCCCGTGGATGCGCGAGTCCACGGCTTGCCTTCCGCGCGGGGCTTCCGCGCACAACCCGCCCTGCATATCCACAAGGGTCGCGGACCTGGTGGGCCTGGGCCGCGCGGCCGCTGCTGCCGATATGCTTCATGGCTGTGGGGACCCCAGGCCCTGCCATGGTTCGAGCAGGCTCACCAATACCCGCCCAGGACGACGCGTGTACCGCCCGTGAGGTGTTGCAGCGGCCACGGTTCCACCTACGGTATGCGGCACGAGCCAGCCTTTCTGTGCCCTGAGGTAAGCCCCGCGGTCCTATTTCCTGGGTGCGCCTTTACTCGGGCACGTTTGGCCTCCCCTGAACAACGTGTGCTCATTCCTGGTCGAGTCCTGGAGGGTCTGTACGCGTACGCCGTTCCAAGGCCTACGGCACCGCCACAGAACAACTGAGGATGAAAGAGCTGGCACCAGGGAAGGGGTCTGGGCCTCCGGGGAGCCACGCTGTGAAAAAAATCACGACGTCTGAGATGGGCGCGGGAACCTAGCCTCCAGGCGGCGCTCGCAGGAATGTGCCTGGTCATCATCTGTGCCCATCGAACATGTTGGGTCGACGCCAGCTTCACTGGCTTCCAGCTCGAGCGCGGGAGACATTCTCAAAGAATAGCTGTATGTCAAATGATTGAATGCCCAAGGTAAGGCTGGTCCACGGCGGGGAAGAGGAGCAGGGGAAGAACGAGACAGAGGAGGAGCAAGAGGACCAAGAGGAGGAGGAGGAGGAGGAGGAGGAGGAGGAGGAGGAGGAGGACGACGAGGAGGAGGAGGAGGAGGAGAAGAAGGCCGAATCAGGCTGAGTTAGAAGATGAAGCGAAACTCCCTCGCAACCAGCGAATCTCAAAGCTTACGATAAAATTGGGGATCCAAAAACCGTGTGGTGACAGACCGTGCGGTGATCTCCGAACCCCAAGAGACCTCACCGCAAGGTCCGTCGCCGCACGGCCTTGGGACCCTGGAGGCCCCTGTCGCCCGCGACATCCTCGGACAGGGGCTCGAGCCCCAAAACCGTCTCACAACACAGTGTGGTCACCACACCGTCTGGGGGCCTCCGATTAAAAGAAGGGGAGCCAGAGGTCCCGGTGGGCCTGCCTCGAAGGCCTCCCTGCTGCGCTCCGAAGGACCCATGCAAAGCAGCAACGCTGTTCTTTCTTTTTATTCACCACGACCTAATGCCTTCAAAAAGTGTCCTCAAGCTCAGTCCGTGGCCTTCGTCGCGAACATCACCGCGACCTAATGCCTTCAAAAAGTGCCCTCTCAAGCTCAGCCCGGGCTTTCGTCCGAACTGATCTGCTCCGAGGGGGGCAAAGCAGCAACCTTATACATATCAAGGGATTCGGGAACCTCGAGCCCGTCCTCCGAGTTTCTTAATAAGCGTCGGGGGGGCATCACCCCCGCCGACAGCCCCACATCGACCCCCGTCGCGGGCAGCCACCGCGCGCCGAAGGCGCTCCGACCCCAGTCGCGGCGCGACGACGAGGCAAGGTTGACCCCCGTCGGAGGGGTACCCCCTACGCTAATCAAGAAACCCAGAGTAGGAACCTCCCTCGGCCTCGAGACCCAAACCACAAGAAATTCGCACCTTTCCCACCCACACGGCTCGAACGTCCAACGACGGAGTGACGACTGACTCGAGCTTGGGGGATGGGGATGGCGTTGAGTTGGGATGCAAGCCTCTCCGAAGCCTGCTCCTCTGCGTGGCCAACCAAGGATGGCCGTTCCCTTTACAAAACCGCTGCTAGGCCTGACACAGGCCTAAAGTCTTTCTGCACCCTGGCACCACAACCAGTACAACACAAAACTGGCGGCTCTTGATCGAGCCCATGCACTGAAGAGGAAGAGGAGGAGGGGGACAACGAGGAGTAGGGGGCAGCGCATGAGCAACAGGAGGAGGAGGAGGAGGAGGAGGAGGGAGAAGGAGGAGGAGGGAGGAAGAATAAGTGAGGAAGGATGAATGAGGGAGAGAGGGAGGAGACAGAGGATGAGGCAGAGGAGGAGGACGAGGAGGAGGACGACGACGACGAGCAAGAGGAGGAGGCACGGAAGAAGAAGGAAGGAGTCCAGACATCTGGGGAGCCGCGCTGTGAAAAGCCTACGGCGCCAGACGCCCAGGGGTCTCCTGACGCCAACGGCTCGGAGGAAAACTAGCCGCCACGACTTCATTATGTCTGACAAGCGAAGCCTCCCAAGAGGGGGGGAGCTGGAGTCATGGACGCTGGAGGCCTCCCAACTGGGACCGGCGTCGAAAAAAACTCTACAGGAAATTTTCGGCCGTTTTCCGCCTCGGGGGCCCTCGCGGGGCCTCGGGAGCGTCAACAAAGACTCGGTGTAAAAAAGACGACCCTGGGGGAAAGGTCGGGACTTCCGGGGACCGTGCGGAATAGATCAGCACATCGCACGTGGGTCGGAGGATCGCGCCGCATCGCCGATGCATCGGCGATGCGTCGCGGTCCTCCGACCCCATCTGCTTAGTGGTCCCAGAACGGTGCGGTGACAGACCGTGCGGTGACCTCGGAATCCCCAAGAAGGCCTCACCGCACGGCCCGTCACAGGAGGACGACCCGAGTCCCAAAACCGCGCGGCCACCCCGAGCCCCTGCTGACTCGCCACGCGGTGTTGTGGCCGCACCGTTTGAGGTCCCCCCACATCTTCGGCGGCGCGCCCACGGGGGAAGGCAGAGGTGCTCGGCCTCCTCAAACGACTCAGAAAGCCTTCGGCCTTCTGAGCAGCTCCTCGGAAGGCCAGAGGGTTTCTGAGAAGACCCGCCGCCTTCTGAGAAGGCCTGCCCCCTCTCACTTCCCCCCTCGGCGCGCTGCCGACACCTGCTCCGGCCCCATGTTGGGAGCCCGAAGATTCGAACAAATTGCAGTGTTGAAAAACCACGGCCCGATCCCTGGACACGACGGTTCTACGGCATCTTTCGGGTCCGCTCGACCTGTGATGGTCCCCGGGCCCGAGACCCGGCGAAAACGCCCGGCGTGGACAGGCGGCAGCGCCCGGACCTCGGGGATCTGCTGCGGCCCCACCGTGGAGGCCTAGAGGCGCGAAGGGAGCAGCGGGGGCCGCGGCCGCCCTCCTCGGCCGCGTCCCTGCCCGACGCGGTGGCCGCGGGCGGCTGCCACATCGCCAGCGTGGCGGGCCCCTGCGTGGGGCCCCCGGCCGCGGGCTCGGCCGCAGAGAGGCGCCAGCGGCCTCCTCCCGAACGCCCTTGGCCTCGGCCCCGCCTGCCCGCGCTCGATCTCTCCTCCCCCCTCCGCTGAGTCCAGCTACACTTTTCTGCCTGGGCGGGCACCTGGGCAGAAGGCAGCTGGGCGTCGCGGCAAGAAAGCCTCCAAGACGGCCCTGGAGCACCCCGAGAGGGCCCCAAGTCGGCCTAGAGAGGCCCCTAATAATGGCTTCCGAACGGCGTCAGACGAGCCAGGAGCCCACCAAGACAGCCAAAGAGGCGCCCGAGAAGCCCCCAAAGGCCCCCAAGAGGCCCGAGGAGGCCCCCGAGATGCCTTCAAGAGGCTCCCAGAGGCTCCTAAGATGCCCCCTCCTCCTCCTCCTCCTCCTCCTCCTCCTCCTCCTCCTTCTCCTCCTCCTCCTGCTCCTCCTCCTCCTCCTCCTCCTCCTGCTCCTGCTCCTGCTCCTCCTCCTCCTCCTCCTCCTCCTCCTCCTCCTCCTCCTCCTCCTCCTCCTCCGCCTCCTCCTGATATTCCCCGCCATCCTCCCCCAAGTGTTGCCCGAAGGGCTTCCACAACGGTTGGGGGAACACATGGTCCGATAGCTTGGCAGAGCTCTTGCCACAACGCTCGTCCACATGGGCGATTCTAGACAGGGGGCGGGGGTGATTCGTCGTAGGCGTCTTCGAGAACGCCAACGTCTCTACATATGCGCTGATGATTCCAATCCGCCCCCGCATGATGTGCCCAGATGCGCCAAGGCAGCGCCGAGACGCACCGACACTACTCTGAGATATCCCATGTATGCCAGAGAAGGGGTCGGCGGCAGGGGGCGAAGCCCTTACGGATATATGTAGATATGAATAGAAATGAATAGAATAGAATAGAATAGAATAGAATAGAATAGAATAGAATATAATAGAATAGAATAGAATAGAATATAATAGAATAGAATAGAATAGAACACACTTTAATAAAACAGAATATAATAAAATAGAGTAGAATCGAATATAATATAATATAATACGATATAATAGAATAGAATAGAATAGAATAGAATAGAATAGAATAGAATAGAATAGAATAGAATAGAATAGAATATAATAGAATAGAATAGACTAGAATATAATAGAATAGAATAGAATAGACTGGAATAGAATATAATAGCATAGAATAGAATAGAATAGAACCGAATATAATAGAAACGAAGAGAATAGGAAAGAATAGACTATAATAGAATATGACAGAATAGAATA